GAAATCTGGAAGTCAATCTGTGGACTTTACTAGTAAGTCATAATTACTAAGTCATCATTTGTGTATAATAAATACACTAAACTGTAAACACTTGTTAAAATGTGTATTATTTTTAGATATAATTTGTATCTCATAGACTTCAATAGTTTCATGTAATTTAAGTAATAATGAAAATTTCCTGTTGTCTAGCTAGATTAGAAACTGTTATTGTCCAATTTTGGATATTGTGAAATAATTCATCTAGTACATGTATGCATAAATGTGTGTACACTTACGTGTAAATTAATTGTTATAGCAAATTCAATCGATCATTAAGTTGAATGTTGACTAATGTTTTTCATCAAAATTGTTTACACTGAATTGTTTGTGGATTTTTCCATTTGCCCAATCATGTCAAGGAGCACATGGCAGGAAATGCTTTCTCCTCCATTGCACCTGGTGTTTTTAGAGGTCTGTGTTTGCTCTGCTCTAATTATGTATTGTTTCAATGGACTTTAAAGCTTGATCACTATTGGTAATCTTCATATTTCATATACTATTAGAGTACTTGAAGAAAACTGTAAAGATTTAACATACAGTATAATGCATGTATATTGCACTTTAAGTACAGTGTATGTGGTTAAGAAATGTTAAATCGTCTCATAGTGCATTGAATTTGTTGAAAATTAGAAAATGTGTTGAAATTTTTTTTGAAATAATGTTAGATTGCAGATTTTTTTAAATCATGCAAGTAAGAAATTGCTAAATATTTTTTAGATTTTCTGGACAGTCTAGATGAGTTCTTACTATATACCTAGCATTGCCATCCTAGTTAAAATTTAAGAAGCAAGGTTCATTCCTAAGCTCTACCTGGACAAACTTGCATGAATTAAAGCACATTAACAGATTTACTTCAGATGCTTGACCTGATTTACATTTTCCTCATGTGTTTTTTTGTTTTTGTTTGTTTGTTGTTTAACATCCCTCTCAAGAATTTTTCATCCATATGGAGATGCCACTACTTGCTGGTGGAGAACTGCAAAATTTGACCTATACTTTGCACTCAGGGCCTTGAGCAGTAAGGGATCTTTTTTGTGCCCACATCAACTGCTAGGCGGGACCTCGGTTTATATGGTCTAATCTGAAGGACTGGTCCCCACATCCCCAGTGGATTTGAACCTGAGACTTAAGGATTAAATCCTTACTTGCGACTCTAGATTACAAACTCTATCCTTTGCACCACATGGGGGACTCCACAAGATTAAGTGTTTTGAGCAGTCCTATTCTCATGTAATTATAAACTCTATGTTGAACAAACCTGCAAAGATGATGTATGTACATGTGAATGTTTCAGGGTACCAATCCTTGATTTGACTTAGATTTTCTGGATTAATGACCAGTTTTTTAGAGAAGGTTCATTCAAAGTAACAATATACTCTTTGGTGATCAGTAAACATAGATGATGTATCCTGCTTCTGATGCTGGATGTAACATACATTTTCAGGGTTATTGAGCAGTTAAATCTAACCCAGACCAACTTGCATAGATTTTGGATCCAGGTGATATACATTACCAAAGTGTTTGTTGAGTGAGACTTTGCCTTACCAGTAGATAACATTTATAGAAGTGAGCTTTGTATTCTTTGATTAGGTATGTTTTTTCTTTGCTCAGGATATATATACCATCAGTGCCAACTACCATACATTTCATATAATAGATGTAGCTGTTGTTCAACTGAATATGATAAAACTGTGGATGAAAATAATTTGATTTTTGTACCTTTGAATGTAATGAATTAATTTGTAAAAGCTGTTATGATACAATGTTTGATATTTTATAAAAGTTTTTAGCATATGCAATCAATAAATGAATCAACATTTTTATTTTATTATACTTTTTACCCTGCAAACTTCTTAAAAACAGAATAGTAATGATCCATTTAACTGATACTAGGTTAGTGTCACATTGTACTGGTATATCATGTATACTGAACTGTAAATAAGAAGCATCTAAATAGGTAAAATCACAGCATGAATCATTGGATTATGTAAGAAGTGCACTATCTTGTGCTTTGGTATGGTATTAATAATAAATGTTAAACTATCATTTTTTTTTTCAAATTAACAAAGGATATGCTTGAGTGACTGTATTTTGACTAGCAGTAAAAATAAAATGATTTTTAAGCATTTGAATTATTTTGATTCATGGTCTCTGCAAGTTTAATGATAGCAAATATGTATATTGAACATGGCATCCACATATTGCTATACTGGATGGGGCATGACTTTTACTGAATCTTAATCACAACCTTGAAATTTTATGTAGTACATGTACTCTTGGTTTCAACTGGTCAAATGTATTCTTAAATCAGAAAGAATTTAAACAAATATAGGCATAGGTCAGAACTTCATCAGTTAGTTGGAAAAGCGAATGCACTCGGTGACTATATGGTTTAAAAGAAGCTGGGTATAAATGCAGGAAAAACTACTTGATGTCCACTGTGAACTTTCTGTCCTCAACAAAACAATATGGAGTATACTATACTTGGTCTAAAGAATAATCTGTGTCTGCATTCACTTTTAGGTTAAACTGTTTTGGGTGTTGAGAGTTTGTTTGTTGTTTAACTTCCCTCTGGAGAATTTTTCACTCATATGGAGATGCCAACACTTGCCGATGGAGAGCTGCAAATGACCTATGCTCGGCACTCAGGGCCAATGGGCAGTGAGGGATCTTTTTCATGCCAGCATCTACTGCGACACTGGACCTCTGTTTGTACGAAGGACCGGTCTCTACGTCCCACAGTGGGATTCAAACATGTGACAAAAGGATCAACTAACTCCATGACTCTAGAGCATAGGCTCTTTCCACTGCACCACGTGGGCGACAGCATTGAGAGTTAAATGTGGATATCAGAACAAGCTACTCTAGGCTTATACTCTCTATATATTGATTGATTGTATGTTGTTTAACATTCCTCTCAAGATTTTTTCACTCATATGGAGACACCACCACATGCCGATGGAGATCTGCAAATTTTGTCCTATACTCGGCACTTACGGCCATTGAGCATCGAGGGATTTTTTTCGTGCCAGCACCTACTGCGACACAGGACCTCGATTTATACAGTCTCATCTGAAGGACCGGTCTCCCCATCCCACAGTGGGATTTGAACCTGCAACGTAAGGATCAACTCCTTACTTCGCTACTCTAGAGCAGATGCTCTAACCACTGCGCCACTGGGGCAACTACTCTCTATTTAAATCACTTGTGCAATGACTTTAGTTTAATTCAAAGTTTTGTACTGATCATGTTGAGTCACATTAGCACAAATATCTTTCTGCTGACCTTGACTAATGACCATCCGCAACTATTCTGGTTGGAAACAATATGTTAATTAATGCATAATAAGTGAAATTACTATGAAAGAAAAATGGTCTACTTAAACCACAAGTTATATTTATAAAAAATATACACTGGTCTCCTTAAGTCATATGAGAGAAACATAAAATATTAAGGAGACCATTTTTTTCATATATTTTTAGGAGGCATTTATTTTGAAAAAATAAAGCAAGAGTCGACTAAATGGTGTTCTATAGATCTTTGATCTGGTATTTCTTTTTAGAAAAAAGCATATTTAAAAAATCTGTATATTGTCTCCTTAAGCCATATATAATGGTCTGGTCTCCCTAGTCCTTAAATCAGAGTTATATATATATATATATATATATATATATATATATATATATATATTGAGTATAAGTTTACAATAAATAAATGTATTTGTAGATGCAGCCGAAACATAAATGGTGGCATTCCAAGGTGTTACAGATGAGAGAGGATATCCAAAGTTTTCTACAAAGGTGACATCGAAAAACAATCAGAACACAGGAGATGCTACTGAATTTAATTCTCGGATGCTCTTTATATTTGGTGATTTTAGTGGCAACGGGTTAACAATCATTATCGTTTTAGTTGTTGTTTCATACTGTATTCAACGAAAATATACACGATACAAAACAAGAAGGAAAACCAATTCTGCTTTAAATGCCCATTATCAAGTGGTATCGGAAAATAATGTTGCTGCTAATATAAATTACCGTTCTGTTACCACGGTGGATGGAATCGAAAAGCTAGTACGCCGCAAGAACCAAGTACAGGAACTTTGTTGCACATGTAAATGCACCATTTCTGATGGAAGGTAAAAACGTCTGCAGTTTTGATTCACGGGACAGGATGTCGCAAACATTTCCAAAAAGTGTTTTACATGACGGAACAAAATATGAAGAACACGAAAACTACTTGGCAGGAAGAAATAGTCCATCAGTTGGTAGTGCTTATCTAACGGTTGTCGGAAACTAAAAAAAAAATAAAGAAAAGAAACATAATGTTTTGAAATCTTTAACAATGATATAGATTTGAATAAAATCTTAATGCAGCATGGAGGGATTTGTTGAGAAGTGCATCTTATATTTTTTTTTATGTTTAAAGTCCTAAAGGAATGATGAATAAAATTTCTTAGACAATGACAAAGAACATACATATATAATCATATAACATACGTAGATCGTACAAACGAAAACAAACTGCCAATACATGCATCTTGTGCTGGTTTTCGATATGTAAACTTCCTTTACCACTGAGATTAAATTCGGTCAATTCCGTAGCTGTCGAACACCGACGAATGCAAATGAGATTTAGCTGATCCCGCCCAAGGTGTGACGTAAGCGGTCCAGTATCTCGTCGACAGGTCCAATATCTCAAACCGCAGTCAAACATCGACTTTTTTATGATCGCTCAGTAAAACATTAGAAATGATAGACTTTTTAAGTCTGGACTTATATAGGAACACATTTTTAAAGGTAATACAATAAAAATTATCTACTTGACAAAAAAATGTTTATTTATAACAACAACACTTCAAATATCCTCTCTGGGGAAAAAAAAACAACAACAACAACAACAAAACAAAAAAAATAATAAAAAAAAACAAAAAAAAAAAAACAAAAACATTGTTTGGCAAATTATCTACGTGAACAAAGAATTACTTTTTGGCCCGCAATGTTGTCTTATGAATATCACAGCATATATATGTGCCAAATGAACAAAATATTATTGTATTTGGGACATCAGACGTAGAACACGAGGATCTTAAGCTCTAAAACAAACAGCAGAAGTGAAGATCTGAAATTGTAAATCATATAATCATAATCATTGCATGCATAACATTACACTTAAAATAAACTAATGAAATATTCCGGTGTATATTGTACAAAGAAAAAAAAAGATATACATATCTCACCTTCTCTTTGTAAATTGCATACCCTCAGAGTTAGAAGTCTGAGGAGTGGAGATCAAGGGTGGTTCTTTAGGTATATCTAAACACTCTGGGTCTGAAGTGGAATAAAAGGAATCTTTAGAAGTTCATTTATTCGAAAGCATTTAAAGACTATAGATATTTGACACAAGCATAAATATGCGTGATTATTAGCATCATAATTCCTTTTATTTCAACCATAACAAAATGATGCTATAGAAAACTAGGCCCTATACCCTTTTATAGTGTCATTGTAAATACGTTGATTAAATATAGGGAATATTATTGAACATTGAGTTAATATTAATGCAATCTGTGTAACTTGAATTGTTTATTGAAAAAAAAAATGTATATAGTTTGACACTTTGATAAACCATAGTAAGTTAAATACAATGTTTGAAATACCATTTTGATTTCTTACTGTAAATATTACTTAACTTGAATGATAATTGTATAATACTGAACACTATCTAGAACTTTGATGTACTTTACCCCCAAAAAGTTACTTTTAAAGTTTGTTTAGTATAACTAAAGTATAATAAACGATGGCTTGCTATAAAATACTACAGTGTTTTGTGACGAAAAAGAAGTCCGGGCAAAGATAAATAGGTTTACAATTGCATCCAGTTATTCCAAATATCCCCCAAAATGAAAATTTTATTCACAGCCTGTAGGATATTTTGAAAATTCCAAATTGTAATGACACTTAATAGGGAACATACCCATGAATTCATTACAAAGAAAGAGTTATGCATGAATTCATTATAAATGATTCAATGTTTCACATACTATGAAATAGGTGTCTTACTTTCCCATTGCACCAGCGACCGAGTTAAATATACCGTAAAATCAGTTTGTACCGTTTGTGAGACCTTTACAAACTGTCAAAACTTACAAACAAACAAAAAAAAACTTTTCTGACGAAGTAATTTACCGAAAACTATGAAGATATATTTAATGGGAGGAATTCCGTGATGCTAACGTTGATGGTTATACAATCGCGATGGTAAATATACATTTTCTTATTTATACATCCTTCTCTGAAAAAATAATATAAATTTTATATCTCATACCTCACAAACACCTTATTGAAACTTGTTTCAATTGTAACAGAAGTCAAAATAAAATATGTCATTTAAAAACTGAGAATCATTAAGATTTACCAAAAAAAAAAAAAAGAAAAGAAAACAGAAAAAAAATTGTCATCTTGTTACACACACAAGATTTGAATACATCTGTCCTGATATCCAACTCACCCGAAAGCAATGTTGTCAAAAGTTATTTCTATACTGACAAATCTAACCACAAACCTTGGAAAAACTGTTAAATGATTATATAAGCAAAAAATTTGGCGAACAATAATATTGCCCTCATCCCAATCCCATCTACCTACCCACTGATCGCATTAAGAAAACATACAAACAAACAGCATGATATATTTTTTATTAGTCCCCTACCGGTGAAACCGGAGGGGACTATAGGTTTCATCTGAGTCTGTCCGTCTGTCTGTCGGTCCGTCTGTCCCTCTGTCTGTCTGTCAGTCTGTCCCACTTGGTTTTCCACACTTTTTTCCTTAACGCTTGCAGATATTGAGCTGATCTGTGGTATGTGAGTGTATCTTGATGAGTTACAGATCAAGTTTGCATTTCGTTCCGCTTCATTCATTTTTGACGGAATTATGCATTGGCCTTTTCAATTTTTAGGGGTTTTCCGCAGATTTCATCTAAACGCTTTCAGATATTGAGCTGATTTTTGGTATGTGACTTTACCTTGATTAGTTATAGATCAAGTTTGCATTTCGTTCCGCTTCATTGATTTTTGACGGAATTATGACATTTTCAATTCTTAACGGGAACCAGATTACCTTGCCGGTAGGGGACTAGTATTGCTAATGCAATACTCTCAGAATGCTTGTTTTTTTTTTTTTTTTTTTTTTTTTAAACTAGACGGGATCTATAAGTTAAGGTGTGGTTGTAACAAGATTTACAGAGTTATGCCGCTTGTCATGTGAACTGTATTAGTGTCCTTGTAATTGTGACGTCATGTAGTGTGTATAAAAGATGGCAACTGTGCACAAGTGTTGTTGAGAATCTTACATGGTGTCAGAAGAAAAATGGACCGGTTAAACCCTCCAGCCGCACTCAACTTAAACGGAAACTTAAAGGAGAACTGGAGGCGATTTAAGCAGCAATTCGACATATATAATATAGCGTCCGGAACGGCGAAGAAAGATGATAAAGTGCAGGCTATGACCTTACTCCACGTGGTTGGCGCTGAAGCCATTGAGGTTTATAATACGTTTACCTGGGATGACAAAGATAAAGAAAAAGTCGCGGACATTTGTGAGAAATTCGAGGCTTATTGCAACCCGAGGAAGAACATTACATATGAAAGGCACATGTTCAACACCAGGGTACAGAAAGAAGGTGAGCGCATAGATGCATATGTTACTGATCTAAAACAAAGAGCTGCGAGTTGCGAGTTTGAAAATTTACAAGATTCTCTTATCAGAGATCGGATCGTATGCGGGATCAAGAGTGACTCTGTAAGAAAGAGACTGTTGAGAGAAGAAAACCTTACAGAGGGCTATAGACATTTGTCGTGCTAATGAAGCCAGTGAATCACAGATTAAAAATATCGCAGATGAGAAAGCTATAAATCACGTGGTCGCGCAAGGAGCGGGTTCAGGCGTGGCAGAGGAAATTCGCGTCATAATAACAACAAACCGACACGTGATAGAGACAAAAGCAAACCACGGCAAGGAAAATGTAAGCGCTGTGGAACTTCTCATGCTCGAGGAAACTGTCCAGCGTACGGTAAGGAGTGCAGAAAATGTAGGAAAATGAATCATTTTGAAAAAAATGTGTAAAAGTCGGAGAGACCGAGTACACATGCCCCAGCATGAGTCCGATTCGGATGCAGATAGAGATTCACTGTCAGATGACGAATTCCTAGCATACGGAATCGAGACCACGGACAAGGATAGGGAACAGGACTGGATGGTTCGAGTGAAAATCAATGACATTTCCGTTGACTTCAAGATAGATACAGGGGCACAGTGTAATGTGATCACGGAGAAACTTTGCAAAGAAGCAGGAATCAAGAATATTAGCAAATCGAAGTCGCGATTAATCTCATACTCCAAGGATGAAGTCAAAACTATTGGCAAGGCTCGCGTTGTGTTAGAATACAAACAGAATTATTATGATGCTGTAGTTCATGTTGTGGATCATGATGTTGTACCTGTACTTGGCTTACAAACTTGTCTGGATTTGAAGCTTGTCCAACATGTAAATCTGGTCGATGAAAATCAAAGTACTGCGAGTACTAACAGTGTCATCAAGGAATACCAACACTTATTTTCTGGAATCGGCTGTTTGCCAGGATAATATGACATTAAAGCGAATCCAAATGTTACACCTAAAGTGCACCCTCCACGAAGAGTTGCGCACGCTTTAAAACCGAAAGTCAAGGAAGAGTTAGATAGGATGGTTAGTGAGAAAGTCATCACGAAAGTAGAAAAACCAACAGCATGGGTTAATCCAATCGTCATTGTAGAAAAACCCAATGGAAAAGTAAGAATTTGTTTGGACCCAAGGGACTTGAATCGCGGAATTCAACGTGAACATTATCCGCTGAAAACAGTTGAGGAGGTAGCCGCAAGCTAAAAGATGCAAAAGTTTTCAGTACTCTTGATGCTGCCTCAGGATTTTACCAAATCAAGTTGTCAGAGAGGAGCACTTGGGTGACAACATTTAATACTCCTTACGGGCGATACAAGTTTGAACGTCTACCCTTCGGAATTTCTAGTGCGCCGGAAATTTTTCAGAGAACAATATCGCAAATCTTTTCAGACATTGATGGGTGTAGTTCTATAGCTGATGACATTTTGATTTATGGACGGAATCAAGAAAAAACATGATCAGAGACTCTCAGCTGTCTTAGCAAGAGCACAAGAAGTTAACTTGAGGTTCAACAGACAAAAATGTAAACTCAGTCAGTCAGAAGTCAAATTCGTAGGTCATGTGTTTGGACCAGATGGATTGAAGCCTTGTCAAAGTAAAGTTCAAGCGATATTTGAGATGAAGAGTCCGGAAAACAAGAAAGACCTACAAAGATTCTTCGGAATGATTAACTATTTAGGAAAATTCATACCCAATATGTCAACAGTGAACAGACCGTTGCGTCAACTTCTAGAAAAGAATGTTGAATGGCATTGGACACAGACACACCAACAAGCATTGGAGGAGTTGAAATGTGCAATTACAAGTGCACCTGTTCTCAAATACTATGACGTGTCAGCACCAGTAAAAAATTCAGCAGATGCTTCTTCTGTAGGACTGGGAGCATGTCTTCTACAAGGAAATCAACCGATAGCTTATGCGTCGAGATCCTTAAATTCAGCTGAACAGAACTATGCTCAAATTGAAAAAGAGCTACTCGCTATTGTGTTTGGACTCATTAAATTTCATGATTACGTGTATGGGAAAGTAGTGGACATAGAAACGGACCACAAACCACTGGAAAGTCTTTACAAAAAGCCATTATCCAAAGCACCACCGAGATTGCAGAGAATGATGTTAAGAATCCAGAAATATGACTTGAGAGTAAAGTACTCACCTGGAGAAACACTTCACATTGCCGATACTCTTAGTCGCGCAGCATTAAGAAACGATGAATCAGAAGATGACTTTGAGGTTCATATACTCGAGAACAAACCGATAACATGTGAAAATGTGGAACGATTCCAGGCTGAAACTGCAAAGGACGAAATACTAGGGAAACTGATGAAAACCGTGATTAATGATTGGCCAGAATCCAAACAGAAAATTGATCCGGAATTAAATCTGTATTGGAACTTCAGAGATGAGATCAACATATCTGACGGACTTGTGTTCAAGGGAGATAGAATCATTACTCCTTTATCTATGCGTCATGAAATGCTGAAAAGAATTCATCTAAGCCACATGGGAATTGAAAAAAGCTTAAGCAGAGCACGAGAATTACTTTACTGGCCTGGGATGAGTCAACAAATTAAAGACCTTGTAGAACAGTGTGAAATTTGCAATAAACACA